ATAAGAGCTGCTATGAGTTGAACATTGAAGGTTGATCCATTAATGAAACGATCATGTAAAATCTGGAATCCATTTAATGTGCCTAATTTATTGATGAGATCCACTAGCCATCCCTGCAATATAATTAATGATAACAATTACTTTCCTTTAAAAAAAAATAAAATAAAATAAAGAAAAGTTACTATGTAAAATATATTAATTTTTTCTTTGTTTATTTTTTTGGGGGGGAGAGGTTTTTGCTATAGGGTGCGTGCACTTGGCAGACAGACAGAGAGAGACAGCGAGATAGAAAGCGAGAAATCACCCCCACAGGGGGGATGGCCACGCTGCAATCCCTTCTCCTCCATTCTCCTCCTGGGATCTTGGGCACGCACACACACACGCACCCGGTGTGAGTTTTAAGCCACCGGGTCCAGGATGCAGTCCAGCGACATAGCCATTATGCTAACTGCTGGTCCCTAAAAGGTATTTCTTTGAAATAGACCAGGTGTAGAAAATTTCAAAAGAAAATTACATACTATCTTGAATGTAAAATTACCTTCAAAAATAACAAAAAATATTTCCATAATATGGACAACACAAATATTTATAAAGAATTAAAAGAAGCACAAAGGATTACAGAGTAAGTCCCAGGGGCATGAGTAATATTATTCTACTTTTCTTTTTCCTTTTAAAGATTATTTATTCATTTACTTAATTCCATTAATTATTAAATTTTTTTAAATTTGACTAGAGAGAGACAGAGAAAAGGAAAGAGAGAGAGCAAGCAACTAGGTCAGGGACTCAAACTGCAGTCAGTCATATGGGAATCCAGCCCTTTTAACCACCATACCTCCTGCTGGTCCCAGTATTGTTCTACTTTACATATCTGATAAGTAAGATTAGCCAAAGGGCTGTAAAATTAAAAATCTTTCTACATGTGAAATATAGACTGAAATAAAAAGTCAAGAATATTAAAAATCAAGAAACAAAATGACAAAAACAAATATAAATCTGGTCTTCAACAAGGCTACATTTAGGAGAAAATTTAAAAAATAACATGTAGTAGGGAAATAACAGGCTATTTTACTTGCAATCTTCAACAGGAATAAAATCTAGATTTAAAATATAATCATCCTTGGGACCAGCAGTTAGCTTAAAGGCTATGTCGCTGGACTCTCACGTAGTCAACTGCGGTTCGTGTCCCAGACCTGGAGGCTTAAAACTCATGCCGGGCACATGTGCGTGCGTGCCCAAGATCCCGAGGAGAATGGAGAAGGGATTGCGGCGTGACCATGCCCCGTGGGGGGTGATTGCTCGCTTTCTGTCTCTGTCTCTCTCTATCTGGCGAGCGCATGCGCCCTATAGCGAAAACCTCTCCAAATAAATAAATAAATAAATAAATAAATAAATAAATAAATAAAAATAAAACAAAAGAAAGATAAGAATATACAGAAAATGCTAAGTAAATCATAACTCTTACACTTGTATAACAGTGCTAAGCCGGATATAATGGAAAATTAAATAAATTTTAAATTCTAAAACAACTACTAAGCCAATTCTATCTACATATTTATTTATTATTTATTTATTTTAGTGAGTATTTTGTCTTTTTCTGGGTTGTGTTCTTTTTTTTTTTTTTTTTTTTTGCCATAGGATATATACACTAACAAGAGACATAAAATGAGAATTCAACCTCCATGTGGGTCACCACACTGCAGTCCACTCTCCTCCAGTGTTACCTTGGGATTCTGAGCATGGATGCACATGCAGCCAGCATGAGTTTTAAGTCACCAGGTCCAGGACGCAAACCACAGGTCAATACGTCAGAGTCAAGCGATATAACTACTATGCCATTGGCTGCTCTCAAACCAACTGCTAGTTCGGAATGAATTCACTGCAGTATTTTCCTACTTTTTATTTAGTTTCTAAAAGTCCATGAATAGGGAACTGGAAGGCGACATGATGGATAAAGGTGCTATATTCCCGCATGGTCAATAAGTTCGAGTCCTGGGCTTGATACCTTGCGTTCTTGCTTTCCCTTTCTCTCTCAATCTCTCTGGTTAAATTAAAAAATAACAATAACAACAAATGGAATTAAGTATTTCTTAAAAAAAAATTAAAAAGTCCTTGAACAGAATTTCATCAGCTAGATGACAGACAAGGCAGCATCATAGCATTCTTTATGATACATAAAAAAATTTTGTAAAAACTCTAGACATCAGTCAAAACTACATGGCAATCAAGCAAACACCAATGAATAAAAAGCCATGATCAAAAAGTTTAGCAGTAATTGGTGCTTTTAATTATAATGCTCATCCTGTCTCCAGTAATGCAGAGCAGAGGGAAAGCAGTGGCGTAACCTGACCTAACCTTCACATTCTTTATTTGAACTAAAGAGCATAGAGCACTGAACTTGTAACATTCTAACGTGACTGAGGGCTGTGTTAATAAATCACTGTACCGCCAAACTTGAAGATCCAGTGACCAAAAGTGGCTTCACAAAGTGACTGAAAGTTTTATGATAACAGTTGTGAAAACAATTACGGAACTGTAGACTTCTGGGGAAATTAGTGACTGATGAATGCAACACATTAGCTTATATGAAAAACTGGAAGAGGTTAAGGTTTTAGACAAATCAAGAAAATTTAAAAGCAGGGGCTGACAGGTGTCATGGTAGTTAAGGCACAGACTCCTCCATGGCGAGCAGATGTATGCATCCCAGACCTGGAAGCTGGCTTTTTCACTGTCTCTGGTCAATTAAATAATAATAATAATAAATTAAATTAAATAATTCTAAAAAAAAAGGAAAGAAAATTTGAAAGCTGCTATGTATGCCAGCGTATGAGATAATGGAGGAAAAAGCACAAGCAAAAATTCAAGGGACATGTGTCTAATAAAGGCATCAGAGGGACCTGCAAGTGGCATGGTGGCAAAGATGTTGAATTCCAACATAACTGACTGTGGTTCACATCCCAGACCTGCTTGTTTGAAACTCATGTCTCACACAAAGTATGTGAATGCCCAAAACTGAGAGGGGTAAGTAACTCTTCAAGTAAGGCTGATTACTGAAGACATTAAATTTCAAAGAGTTAGTTCACAAAAACTGGGAGAAATGAATGTTTTTCCAAATACTCAATTTTCAATAAAACAAGATATACGAAGAAATGGGAAAAATGGCTTATTCAAAGGAACAAACTAAGTCTTCAGAAACTATCCTCAATGAAACATAGATGATCTTAATTGTCAAGGACTTTAAATGTTAAATAGTCTCAAAGAGTTAAAGTAAAACATGTATGAGAAACTAGTAAAAAAAAAATTAGAAAAACTATCTATGAACAAAATGATTAACATAAATTATTTAAAAAGAACCAAACAAATTTTATAGATGAAAATACAATAACTGAATTATCTTTTAAATTGCTAGATGAGTTCTACAGCAGATGTGAGGAGATGTGAACCAGCAGAATTAACAATTAGAACTCAGAAGAAAACTTCTGTAACTTAATCAGAGAAAGAAAAAAAGAAGGTGCAATGTGGGAATTATGTAAGGGAATTATGAAATACCACCAAATAAAAAATGTACAAGTAAATTGAAGGAAGAGATAAGAAAAGAACTTAAATAAAAAAAGAACTTTTCCAAACGTGAAGGAATATATGAATACACAAAACTTTAGACTCACACCAAAATATAGAATAAAAAGGGGCTGTGGCAAAGGAGTCACTGCAGTAAAACATGATTTTCTGCAATTCTGATTGACATGGGACAATGTTGTACCTGTAGACCTCCCTGAGGATGCCAGGCTAAGACCAGCATGGATAGAGACCTCATGATCTTGCTGGGAACGCTGTCTATCTCACACACAGAAAAAATGGAAGAAAAAGAAGGGGGGAGGATCATCATAGTTTTTTCACGTAGGAATAAAAATTACTAATAAAGGGAGCAGCAGGTGACATAGTGGTTAAGACGCTGGACATTCCCACATGGACAACCATGGTCTGAGCCTCAGACTAGACGGCTTGCTTTCTGACTTTGCTCTCTCTCACTCTATTTCTGGTCAAACCAAAAAAAAAAAAAAAAA